GAGATGGCGGTCGTTCCCCTATCCGCGACCTGGGGACGCGCTCGGTAGCATACAGCTCTGCTCTTCCGAGTCTCGCAGAAATAAATCAATAATATTGCATCGCATGGCAATATTCACTCTCTCCGTCCGCCTGACCCGTAGCCTATGCCAGGCTGAACATTGCTCAGTGTGTATTTCATTGGTGCATTCGTTTTCTTGCATTGATCAATGTTATTTTCAGTCACGCATAAGCAGCAGCGTGAAACTTGTAAATTGACTCGTGACCTGTGACTTGTTCAATGCCACTAAAATCCCGTGCTGCTGAAGCCGTGTCTTCTCTCGCGTGCTTTTGAGAGGCCTGAGATCAATAGCCGACCGTGCGTCCTGTGTTTCGCCTAGGTAGCTTTCGCTCCTAGAACTATCATCCACTCACGGACTTAGTGTTGGTCCGCTTTTCTCGTTTCCCGTGTGCTACTATTGTTACTGTGCTATATCTTGTGTTATTTGTACTTGTGGTGTTCTCGTGTGATGTAGTGCTGTGTGACCTAATAATAGGCAACGGATTTAATCGAAGTAAAACATAGATTGGCAACATCACAAGATCTTTGATTGCTGCAACAGATTTTTCCGTGTTTCCATATTAGAATCCCTCTGTCCTTTGTGAACGTGTTACTCATAATCTTTATATTAGCTTTAATCATTGTTGCCCGTTTGATACTGTCATCATCTATAAGGAGGAATATTCTTCACCGTCACTTAAACAGCTACGCAGTCAAAAAATACAGGCTGATACGAATGAGCAGAGTACCCTTTTCGAATGGCCTGAACTTTTGACCAAATCTGGAACTAATCGTTCACATAAATTGCACATAGATAATATCCTGGAGAGCTCCAGTCGTCCTGGCACGTAGAGCGCTATCAAACGCCTGTGTGGCGGTACCAGTAGACACCAAAGAGATGTTCAAAAACTCGATTCCGAGTATAGCCCAGTGTCACGGTGCGCAACCCTGCCAGACTTTGTCAGCTCTACGCCACCACCAACTACCGAAACCTCCACGCCCTCCAACAGCTACAGGAAGCGAAGTTGAATAAAGCATCTGGTCTGGATGAACTATCACCCGTGATACTCCAAGCATTTGAGGATACTCTTTCAGTCTCGCTATCACCACTGTCTTCTTTAACCCGGATAACTAGGTTATTATTGACTGAATATCTGAGTCTTCAATAAATAGGGCACTTTCATAACTCTATTATGTTTTTGTTTCAAATCCCAAATTCTTTGATCGTCCTTTTTTGGTCTTTGATTACTGTCACGATTCTCCTGTGTTAAATACTAAATTAACTGATTCTAACTTTCGAGGATACCTCTGCGCTGCTAAAAAACCTAAACTTTTGTCACTATTGCGTGTCATTGTGTTTTTGTTGTATTTTCCGCCTTGATCACAAGTAATACCGAATCATAAATTTTACTGCTTACCTCGTTTGATAACTCTACGCTCTAGGCGTTTGCCTATCATGTCTGAAAGTATTCATGTTTTTCTTTGCTACTTCTTCACTGTTTAGCTTACCGAATTCGCAGGTGTTATCAATATTATCACTGGCATTTGTTATAACACAGTACGCCGTTACATGTTTACCACAGTTGCTTTTGAAGTATTTTGTTTCTACGGATCGCCAGCATATGAACCATACTTTCGCATCCCGATTTTCCATCATCTCATATTTTTTCGTTTCGTATCTCCAAACAACACCTGTCTTCTTTGAATGACTCCTCCATAACAGCGCAGTAGACTACATGGCAATTATGTAGACAAACCGCCTTCTTCATGGTGCATACCATTCCTTTAGTCGCAAAGGCGACAAAATGTTTTTAAGCAATCCGCTCAAACTAATAAGTCCACATGTGCATGCTTTTTGTTTGTAGAATAACCAAATGTACGATCGAATGCTCCGCTACAAACGAATTTTCGTTGAACCGCGAGATAAACTGCAGTTCACCAAGGTAAGCTTATAAATTTCAGCTGGCCCCAGTCGTGCTTTTGTCATTATTTGACTTAACACCGAATAATAAGTAGGTGAGTGTGCACTGTTCACTTACCCGGAATGTAAATATTGGTGCAATTTATTCTCCAAGCACTATCAACGCGCTCCTAAAAAGCGGTGCACAGTTACCGAATGCTTGTTAGAAATTATCAGTATTGCTCACGTACCGACCCATTAATGACTCGATTCGGGAAGTGCTGGATTGTGAATTCCTTGTGTTCCTAATGGTTATTACCCGTTCTTTGCTATTGTTTCTCTTCACATAACATGTCAAAACAAGGAGAATACAATTCGGCCACGATAAGGTTTTTATGCGCCTCTAGTCAAGAATAACAGTACCACGCGGGTTTTATATTACGGGTTTCGCGGTTCACTGCTTACACTGGCAACGGTTATCTCACGTAACAGAAGTTGTGAGCATGCGTATAAGTCAATTTGAATTGGTCGATGAGCGGCAACATTGATCGATATGGTGACCTGCGTTGAGCGAGCTAATTCTGATGTTTAGGAGACTGGTTTTTCGTCTCCATCGAACGAACTGTTGCGCTCTAGATCATGTGTGTGACATGTACACAGCACGCACATGCATTAGGTCATCCAATACCCGTTACGTCATGTGAGCTGAGTTTAGAGTTCTATTCCGTGTCGAAATTGCATGGTATAGTACCCATCCATCCACCTGCGTCGGCTGAATAATTATTGATCCGAAAGTAAAGAACTTCTGTGGACAAATGAAATTGAGCAGACCAACGGATGCACTTGAATTTTTCAACTACCACTCGAATGTAGTTGTTTCTCTGCTTTCCGTATTGGGAATAACATGCAACGTCTCGATCGAATGACGTGAGTGTGAACAGGGCTGCTGGTAATGGCTGCTTTAGAACTTAGAGCTTTTGGTCCTGAGCCCGGCTACGTGTCACTACCTGTATGTTCTATTCGGGCAAGTGGAATTTATGAGGTTTTTCATCAGCCCAAATTAATCATCCACCAACAGGTCTATGATCACAGCGGAGAAGGCCTTGAACTACCAGTATATTTCGTTTCGATGTGAGACATGAATAGCATTAACCAATAACTCTTGACCTCTTCGCGTCTGTGTAGCTTTGTTTTATCCGGTTTGTGTACGCTGAACGAATTTAAGCTGTGGCAATACTAATGGTAATATTCAGTTAGTCTTCCGCACTAGATTGTTGGATCGAGTTGCCTATGATTCCGGATTCAGTTTTCGTTGTAAAAGTGATGACAATCCGATGAATTCACCATACGTTTGGGAGTCCCATCTTTGAGGTATCCTATTTGTTTGTTCTGTGTGTTCTACTCACATTTGTCAGGCACATCCCTGTTAACTTGATCGCTTAGTTATTAAATGCGCCTCATCTTATTTCGTTAATGACTCTAATTTCCCTTCCCAATATTATCTCACAATCCTCGGGTCATGTTTTACCCTCGACGTAACCACTTCCAAACTCATTTCATCCAGGTGTTCTCAGATTATCGAACTGCAGCCGCGATCACACCCATGTCTGCCAACGATATTCACGGTGCAGCTCTTTTTGCTGTGATGCGTGGTCGAGCCAGTGAGGGTATGGATTTAGCCGACTATGCTGGTCGCGGTGTGGCCATTTTGGGATTGCCCTATCCACCTTTTATGGATCCACGAGTCAAACTCAAGATGGCTTATCTGGATGAACAACACACAGAGATAATGAATTGGAATTCGAGTAAAACGAACACCTGTGAGATTCCATTGGCTTCTCATCCTACGGGTCGAAAATGGTACAATATGCAGGCCTGGCGTGCTGTCAATCAGTCGGTTGGAAGGTTTGTTGCAGCATTATTACGATGAATCGTTTAGTCCATAGGTATGCGTAGATGCAGCAATCTGTGTATCGTTATAGCGTGACTCCTATTTTTATGGATTCATTTATACTCTATTTGCTTAATGCTTTCTTATATGAAGTGAAATTGTATGAAAACAGAGAAGAGTAAGTCGTTGTTTTGTCCTCATCGTGAGTGCTTAGCAGTCCGCTGTTTTTTATTTATCTCTCTTTATCCGACAATTTATTGCAGGTTATGTGGTCAGTATGAGCATATATTTCAATTTTGGTTTTGAACTGTCCCGCGTAAACTACGAGACAACTGCATATATTTCAAGCTTTTCATCGAAGCAAGTGGATTTTATTCATCCAGTTCAAAATCTCTGAGGTATCATTCGTTTCTCGCGTGTGTGATGTTCGTGGGGCTTGAAATGAACTTATATTCATCCAAAATATAGGGTCATTCGACATCACCGGGATTTCGGAGCGGTATTCCTTTGTGATGCACGATTCGCTGCGCCTGCGGCAAAATGTCAGTTACCCAAGTGGATGCAATCCAGTCTATATACCTACGACGAAGTCCACGTGGCTGTTAAAGAAACAGACACATTTTATAAAAGTGCCCGCATCAAAGTGAGTCCAAGATGTGAAATATCGGTTGCTTTTTTCTTTTCAGTCGATTTTCAGTGGATCGTCATTGTTTATTTGCTAACTGCCGGTTGCTACCATATTCTTTTTGTAAGTAAATTACTCACAAATCATCTTATCTGGGTTATGTTACAATCTGATTATGGAGTCAGACCAAATCTCTAAACAGCCTCACAATCAATTTTGGGATTGTTGTAGTGCTGAACGAGTTGAGTGCTTTTTTACCCGCGAATGAGTCAGCTTGATCTCGAGTATGAATCTCGTCTCACTCAAGATCCTGATTAACCGGGTTGTCGTTCCACTCTATTTCACTTGATTCCTGTTGGTCATCTTGTTCCACTTTTTCCCATCTGAAAGTTCCATCTATCAGATCATTGATGATTCTGTTTTTCCACAACAATAATTGCGATGGGAATGATCTTTTCGTTATGAATTATTTCTTCGCCCAGAAACTGCCTCGCTATATTAGAATATGAAATAAAGGTTTCGGTTTGTTGATTGAACATCTTTATTAATGCTGCTGTGTATATAGGAGCCCGCTGCCCCCGAAGTTGCGGACGAGCTCCGCCAATATTTAGTATCTCAATTGACCAAGGATATCAGATGTAAATCAAGACTTTCGATGCAAGGTTTTTCGGAACCAGTGACTTTAGGAAGGGTAAATTTGGTGGAGGTTGTTTTTCTCAGATAATGTCCAAATAAGTGAGATAAGGGTTGTAGGATTCGAATTTTAAATACCTTTCATGGCAGATGGCTAACTAATGTTAATCATGTTTTCAGTCTAATGTTTTATCGTCACTGTTTTTCGCCCGCTCGCACTTTTCCTCGGGGAAAATGTTGACGGAATTCTTCATAATATAAATTGGGCTATTCGGTTAGTTCATAGCGTCATGTAAATTGGTTGAGTTGTTTCCAAACAGAAAAGAGCCAATCTGTGCACCCACCACTGATGTTATCGAAGTGTAATTTTCGCCTGTGATTTTTACATTATGTGTTTGTGAAATCGTAATAGTAGCTTGATCAAATGAGCTACCGGTTAAGACTGAAATCTTTACCTCAAACAAGTTGAGGTGGGCTGTAAATCAGGTAGAACAGCGTATAATGTTGAATGAACCCGTGAAATTATATTGCAAAATAAGCCTCGCGTCGTTTGCTAAACCCACATTGTGAAGTTCCGGGCAGTTGAATCAAATAACGGGAACGCATCACTCTTCCGCTTTTTCGATGTGAACCAGTCAATCCTCTTGGTTCCAATAAAAAGCGTCCAGTTGGATCACTTCGCCGTCTGTGCTGACATGTCATCATCAATTCGAAAAATAGCACGCAGTCTAAAAGACCCACTTTTCTGCACCACATTCGAAAAACGTCGAAGCCACGAAGAGACGCTTCAGTTGTGCATGGCTAATATGCACATACCTGCTACATACTCGGAAAAGCAATTCTCAAAGTTTCTTCCATCATCCTCGTTACTGTGTAAAACTGCTTGTTTTTTCCCCAAATCCCTTCGAAATCCTCCGTGAGCTAGTTAATTTTGAATGAATTGAATTGTTCACGGGAACATTTCACGATGAACAATTCTTCAGTCACCTAATGCTAATATATATATCACAGAATATACTCATTGAGTAAGAACACAATGTAGACGAACATATGTTTTCGGTGAATTCCCTTTCAAAGGTTTATGATCACATTTATATGATATATATATATATAT